AAACTGCAAGGACTCGTCCAAGCAGTCACTGCAGGGTCAGCAATGACTGAGCGCAGACAAAAAAAAAAAAAAGGACATTCAGAGGAAATCAGGAAGATGGTGACAAAATGTGCTGGTGATCCTGTGCCTTTCTGTGGGTGTGTTCCATAGAACCAGGATGGATACCAAAATCACATCAAAACTTGATGACAGGGTAATCTGAGATGCAGGCAGAAAATATTCCTTGTTTTTGTTTAATATGGAACAAATACAATTTTTTAAATGAAAGCATGTGTGTTAAGTAAGAGTTGGTTTTTTTTTAATTAAAAAAAGCTTTTCTGTCTTAGGCTGAAAAGAGGAAAGTAGAACAGTGTGTCAACTCCAGTGTTTCTGTTGTGTATGTAATTTGTTACTAAGAAGCTTAACTATGATAATTTGTACATGTATTTTACAGTTTGTATTAGTCATTTAAGAAACATGCTAACTGCTTTAGCATCTACTATATATTCACTGTATCTTTGTTTTGGGAAAGGCTGCATGATGTGGAGACCTACAGTATGACAGGCAGAAAGGAGAGTATTCTGATCATAGTTTATAGGTTACCTGCCTTTGTTGAAATAAAAATGCATGATTTGTGTGTTCACTACCCTCCTGCAGTATGCAAAATATGAAGTATTCCAGGTATATGTGAATACTTTTGGGACCTTTCATGTTACAGTGTTCTAAAATCATTATTACTACCATTACTAAATTTTGTACCTATTTTAACTGTTAGATTTTATCCCCACAATAACCCTCTGAAATAGCTAAGGCTGAAAAAAGTACAGGTGGTCCTCACTTAACGACCATTTAATGACATTTCAAAGTTACAGCAGCTTTGGAAAGGGTGCTTTATGGCCGGTAAAGAACTTCTGGTCATTGTAAAATGTTGTGCTGCCCCCCTCCGCAGTCACATGACTGCATTTCGGGCGCTTGGCAACCGGCTTGCATTTATGAGTGGTTGCCAAGCGCCCCGCAATCATGTGATTGCCATTTGCAATCTTTTCTGCTGGCTTCCCAATTGGAAGGAAGGTTGCAAGCAGAGGGGATGTGTCAGTGTTCAGGAACGGAGCTCAAATACTGAAGATTTGAGCTCCATTCCTCCAGCCCTACCAAGGATTTTTCCTCCCCTCTCAGCTGTGGATAGGAACGAAGCCCAAACTTCAGTATTTGGGCTCTGTTCTTTCAGAGGTTTCAGTGGTATAAAAGAACAGAGCTCAAATACTGAAGATTTGAGCTCCGATCCTTCACCCCACTGAGTGGGAGGGGAAACCCCTCGGCGGTGGGAATGAATGGAGCTCATATCCTGAAGTTTTGAGCTCCATTCCTCCAGCCCCAGGAATGATTTCCCCTCCATCCATGGAATTTTAGGAATTAGATATATGTTAATGTTAAAGCAGTACAGTTTTTCATGACTACTATGTGAAAATGACCACATGATGAGTAATTTCTTCATTTGAACTGTTGTACGTATTCCAAATTCCAACATGCAAATGCCTTTGGTGTTTTATAAAAATCAAACCTTTGGTATGTTGGCCTTTCCCAGGAACCAACTCCTCCCAGCCACTGAAATTTGTTTTTCAGTGGATTGCTTGTAATCAGTTTTAATGGAGTTGTAAACTACTTAAGGACTTTTTGCCACAAGAAACAGTATTAAAATCTTTTTGATAACAATAATAAATACTTAATTTCCCTTCTATTTAAAATATTCCCATGCAGGATATCTGTGATTGGGTATTCCTGTATTTTTCCTCAGTGGGGCAAATTCCAGCTGAGGGAGAACCTGAGAGTTTTTCAGCCCTACATTAGTCAACATACATTTAGAAAGATAAAGAATGCCCACCAGAAATAAGAATGGGAGAATAAGAGCAAAAAAGAGTATATATTTCTCTTATTCCCATTGGTAATGTACAGTATCATTTTGATGGATTCCTGTAGGTTGCTCTATTTAATACTAAATTCTTCCATGGAAAGTTTTTGATAACTAAGGACTCTACTGGTTGGGAACAAGAATCAATTCACACATGTTTCCAGCTGTTACCCTTTCCTATTCTGTTGCTTCCCCCAAGGCTTGAGATTAGATTTTTTGAGGCCATAAAAGGTATATGGGGAGGGGGAAGATAAGCCAAAATTTCTTGCTTCCCTTTCATCAAAGGGAGCATCCCCTGAATAAAACAGGTCTGGATGTTCCTTTCAGAGGGAGCAAAAGTTGCATCCAAGTCAGAAAATGACTTTCTTTTAATATCCTTTTCTGCTAAATGGAAAAATAAGCTTTCTCACTTTTTCCCCCTTTGTGCACAGATTATTCCAGAGTTGCTGGAATGAGAAAGAGTCTCTTTCACAAATTAAAACTTTTTGTGTGTGCGTATTGACACTATATAGAAAGTTTAATGTGATTTGTCTCTTCACTTGCAGCTTTTGCGAGAACTGAAGCACCCTAATGTGATTGCATTACAGAAGGTTTTCCTTTCTCATAGTGATAGAAAGGTGTGGCTGCTGTTTGATTATGCTGAACATGATTTGTGGGTAAGTTCAGAAGTTCCTTGTTTTGACTATAATTATGTGTTATATTTTAAAAGAAATAATTGTGCAGTTAGAATGAATTAAAAACTTTTGCCCAATCTCACATGCTATCTTAATCTATATTGCTACACAAAGCATGTTAGGAATGGATGAAACCCACATACCTATCTTCTTTATAAGTTGTATGAAAAAGTTTCATTATGAGATGTAATCAGGTAGTCTTTGATTTTAAGGTGCAGAAAGGTTTTCAGGATTTTTTAAAAAAATCATGTAAACTGAAAAACTCTCTCCCTAGCCTTTCCTGAGACGTTGAGATTGCTCTGCATTTCTTTAAGCAAATAAAATCTTTAGAAGCTTATTGTGTGCTGTGTGTATGATGTGATTTGGAATTCACATGCTGAAAATGTCACACTACCTTAAAACTGTATTTGGCTATGAAAAACAGGAAAAAAAAACAGGTAGAGGCATTTTGGAGGGGCCATTTTGCCAGTTTGGGACTACATAACTATCCACAAGTTACAGTAATGTGATACCAGAACTGGTCTCAATTTTCATTTTCCCAAAGGGTTTAAGAGTAAAAAAAGCTTTAAGTACCTATGTGTTTTCTGTTTTCCTGCCCAAAAATCAATGTCATTAAAAAAAAAAAAACTCGTTTGGAAATTAAATATGTCATTTCCTTCTAAAAGGAAGGAAGAGTTGTTAAGAGTTGTAGGCCAATTATATTATGATATCATTGAGCTTGTAGGTTTCCACAATTATCAAGGAGAGCGTAATTAATGAAAACAACATTATAACCATGCTCAGAGACCAAAACACTGTAAGGGTCTGTATGTGCCTAGAAAAGGGCTGGGCAGAGCTACACTTCATAATAATTTTGGTTTTTAGTAAAACCCTGAGATTATTTTTTTACTGATTGGGGAAAAATACACTCATAAATTCAGATTTTAATTACTCTGATACCAGGAACTTGTTTTAACTATCAGAGCTAAATGGAGCCCACAGTTCTTCCACAAAGAAATATACTTTTGATAATTCTTCTTCTAGTTTTCTTCATTTGCACTGTTGTACATATTCCACATTCTAACATGCATATATACCTTTGGTGTCTTATAAAAATCAAACCTTTGGTATGTTGACCTTTCCCAGGAACCAACTCCTCCCAGCCACTGAAATTTGTTTTTCAGTGGATTGCTTGTAATCAGTTTTAG